GAGGGAAGGGGGGGGAGCGGAGGGAGTGACGGGTAGGAGAGAGGGAGGGGAGGGAGAGAGGGAAGAAAGACGAGGGGAGGAAGGCGGAGGGGGAGGGAGGGGCAAGGGATGCGGGGGGAGGGAGGACGGGAGGGAGTGAGGAGGGAGGGAGGGAGGGAGGATGGAGGGAAGAAGAGAGGGAGGAAGGGAGGGGAGGGAGGGAAGGAGGCGGGAGGAGGAGGTGAGGGAGGGAGGAGAGGGATGGGAGGGAGGGAAAGGAGGGCCGGGAGGGGGAGGGAGGGGAGGAGAAGGGAGGGATCGGGAGGGAGGGAGGAAGGGAGGTTGAGGGAGGGAGGAGGTGGGCGGGGAGGGAGGGAGGCGAGGGAGGCGAGGATGGGATTGGGAGGGAAGAAGAGAGGGTAGGAAGGGGAGGGGGACGGTGAGCGAGGAGGGCGAGAGGATGGCGAGGCGGAGGGATGGCGAGGGAGGGAGGAGGGAGGGAGGGAGGGAGGAGGTAGGGAGGGAGGGAGCGGATGGGTTAGGGAGAGGAAGGAAGTGATGGGTGGGAGGGAGGGAGGCGTAGGGGAGTGGGAGGGGAGGGAAGGGGAGGAGTGAGGGAAGGAGGGAGGGAGGTGATGGGTAGGGAGGGAGCGGAGGCTGAGTGGAGGCGAGGGAGGGAGGGAGAAAGGGAGGTAGGGAGGGAGGTAGGGACGGAGGGAGGGAGGGACGGACTACCCACCAATATCGCATTCAGGCAGGCAGGCAGGCAGGCAGGCAGGCAGGCAGGCAAGCAGGCAAGCAGGCAGGCAGGCAGGCAGGCAGACAGGGAGGGTGGCATATAGGTAAAAAGGAGAGAGGGAGGGTAGGAGAGATGGAGAGGGAGGGAGGGACTACCCATAAATGCCGCATTCAGGCAGGCAGGCAGGCAAGCAGGCAGGCAGACAGATAGCTAGGCAGGCAGGCAGCAGGAACATAGGCAGGCAGTCAGGCAGGCAGCGCTGGCGTACACGCTTCCACTAATTACACAGCCCAGACCGCTGTATAGCGAGCATTCTAATGATAATGAAATTCATGCCGGGAGATCCATAATGAGATGAAGCAAAGTGTGGTGATCAATGTGTGCGTGCGTGAGTGCGTGCGTGCGTGCATGGGCACGTGTGCGTCCTCGTGTGTGTGTCGGGAGGGGGGATGCATGCATACAAGTGTGTGTGTGTGTGTGTGTGTGTGTGTGTGTGTGTGTGTGTGGGTGTGTGTGTCTGTGTCTGTGTGCGTGCGTGCGTGCGTGCGTGCGTGTGTGCGTGTGTGACACTAACCCGCATATTAAACCAATCAACATTGAAATGATTATGTCATCGCCCGCATCGCGGCAACAACGTACCACGTAGGCACATGCATTTGGAACGTTCCAATAATAAAATGATGGTAAATAAACACGAAATGTATTTATTTCCAAAGTCTTCATGTTTCTCTACTTTCTTTCGCCTATTATCAGTAATAACATTTTGGAAATGCCGTTCAAATGCCCCTCTACAATACACAAGTTCACCGCTCGAACGCCGCTGTGCACAAACAACAAAATTATAGATAACTAGAGCACTCAGAGAGCACAGACCTCCGCCAAGGCAGCTGAATTCCCTCAATGTGAAATTTTGTAATAATTAATTAATGAATTAAGTGGAAAAATTAATTAATTAATTAATTAATTAAATAATTAATTGGATCCGGATTAGTGCGAGCGTGCAGGTAGGGGAGGACTGTGGTTGCCCCTTAGCCTGTGGTTGCGTGTTTGTAAGTCTACAGCCAGCGCACCTAGCGGAAGTGAACTGAAACGTGCATGTTAACAAAGCCACAAACCCACAAACACACAAACCAACACTCAAGCACACGCCGGTGAAAACATAACCCCCGCCAAGCCCCTGGCGGAGGTAATAATACTGCTACTGTTACTGTTACTGCTGCTACTGTTGCTACTGCTACCGCTTCTGCTGCTACTGTTGCTAGTTGCTACTACTGCTGCTACTGTTGCTACTGCTGCTGCTACTGCTACTGCTACGGCTACTGCTACTGCTAATTCTACTGCTACTGCTACTACTACTACTACTACTATTACTACTACTACTACTACTACTACTACTACTACTACTACTACGTCTACTACTACTACTACTACTACTACTACTACTACTACTACTGCTGCTACTGCTACTACTACTGCTACTACTACTGCTACTGCTACTGCTACTGCTACTGCTACTGCTACTACTACTACTACTGCTACTGCTACTGCTACTGCTACTACTACTACTACTGCTACTGCTACTGCTACTGCTACTGCT